TGGTGATGAGTTCGATTACCGATTTTGGGACTACGAAAATCGAAAGATCATCAGAAGAAGAGATGTCATTTTCAATGAGAATGTGATGTACAAAGACATGTCAACTGTAGAATCAAGTAGCTCCAATACCGAAGCTGAAACAAAGGAATTTGCTGAGTTCGAGAAGATTTCTAGAAATGATGTTCAGATCAATCCTGAATCAGTTCAAGAAGAACCAGTCACACCAGAAATGAGACGCTCCTCCAGAATTCCTAAACCAACCCAACGATATTCTCCTTCTTTGCACTACTTATTGCTGACTGACAATGGTAAACCAGAGTACTATTATGAAGCAATGCAAGTGGAGGATTCAGTCAAGTGGGAGTCTTCCATGAAAGATGAGATGGACTCGCTTATGTCAAATCAGACGTGGGAATTAGCTGAATTACCACCAGGCAAGAAAAAGCTCCACAACAAGTGGATTTACAGGATCAAGGAAGAGCACGATGGGAGCAAACACTACAAAGCGAGATTGGTTATCAAAGGTTTTCAACAAAAGAAGGTATTGACTACAATGAAATTTTCTCTCCAGTCGTGAAGTTGTCTATAATCAGACTGGTATTGAAAATTGTAGCTGTAGAGAATTTACATCTTGAGCAGTTAGATGTAAAGACAGCTTTCCTTCATGGTGATTTGGAGGAAAAAATCTATATGAGGCAGCCAGAAGGCTTCATAGAGGCAGGCAAGAAAAACCTGGTATGCAGGTTGAAGAAGAGCTTGTATGGTTTAAAACAAGCTCCTAGACAGTGGTACAAGAAGTTCGATAGCTTCATGGGTAGCAGTGGTTTTACCAGATGCCAAGCAGATCATTATTGCTACATCAAGAGGTTCGACAATAGCTTCATTATTTTATTGTTGTACGTTGATGACATGCTCGTTGTAGGCTCAAACATGCAAGAGATTATACACTTGAAGCAAAAATTATCGAAGCAGTTTGCTATGAAGGATCTGGGCGCTGCAAAGCAGATTCTTGGGATGAGGATCAAGAGAGACACAAAGTTGGGGACTTTGATGTTATCACAGGCTGAGTACATCAACAAAGTACTCTCCAGGTTCAACATGCTAGATGCTAAACCAGTAAGTACACCTTTAGGTGTTCATTTTAGACTCTCCAAAGAACAGTCACCAAAGACGGAGGAAGAACGTGCACACATGGTGAAGGTGCCGTATGCCTCAGCAATTGGAAGTCTAATGTATGCCATGGTTTATACCAGACCAGATATTGCTCAAGCAGTGGGAGCTGTTAGGAGGTACATGAATAATCCAAGCAAGGTACACTGGGAAGCAGTCAAATGGATCCTCATATATCTGCGGGGTACTACAAACAAAGCACTTTGTTTCAAAGGTGGAGATACGATACTGACAGGCTATGTGGATGCTGACTTAGCCGGAAATATTGACATCAGAAGGAGCACAACAGGGTATGTCTATACTCTAGGAGGAATTGCAGTGAGTTGGGTTTCTCAACTACAGATAGTTGCTCTCTCCACAACTGAAGCAGAATATGTCGCTGTTACGGAAGCTAGCAAGGAGATGGTTTGGCTCCAAAGTTTTTGGAAGAGTTGGGCAAGAAATAAGAAAACAATGTCTTGTAACAGTCAAAGTGTTATCCATCTAGCAAAGAATCCGTCTTTTCATTCCAGACGAAGCACATACAATTAAGATATCATTTTATCCGATCTCTTCTGGAAGATGGGATTTTGAAACTTGAAAAGATTAGTGGAGCTCAAAATCCGGCAGACATGTTGACAAAAACGGTGACTACAGACAAACTGAAGTTGTGTTCAGCTTCAGTTGGCATGCTAGAATAACAAAACCAGAAATACTGCTGCATTGATCGAGGTGTGAAGACAGATTAAAATCAGTCTTCAAGTGGGAGATTGTTAAAAGTTAGTTCAAAGTTTGGCAACCAACTTTGAAAAATGTTTTTCAAAGTTTGGTAGATGTTTCTTTGAAAAACGTTTTTCAAAGTTTGGTAAAGTTTGGTAGATGTTTGTTGAAAATAGGAATGGGAAAATTCACTTTAGTCATTGCACTTTAGTGTATTTTCAAAGATTAGTCCCTAAGTTTCAACTATAAATTCCCTAGCTCATTTAGCTTCAAAATCATCCCAAATCCCAAATCATTTCTTTCTCCCAATACTAGAGAGTTTCTTGTGAGTAGTGAGTGTTTTGTAAACACCTGTAAATTTTCTCTCTTAGTAAAAGGCCTACAGCAGTCCGGAGACGTAAGCACAATTGGTTGAACTCCGTTATCAATTTTCGAGTATTATTTTTCCGCTTTTATTTCACATTCTTACTAATCTGGTTATAAGGAAATTACTTGTTTACTCGTTTATTTTCCAACAACAAGGGGTTTCACTTATTTCCAAGAGTTCATTCAAAAGTCCCGTGAATACGATGGAACCAATTTCAATAAGCTTGAACTTGATAAGTGATAAAGGGATCAAATCCTTGTCGTCTAGTGTTTGTGGTTTTTGTCCGACTGTAGGAAAAGAATGGATCACTCGTCATTTGACTAGAACTGGATCTAACAGCTCGAACTCCAAGGTTGGTTCTTTCAGTGATGAGCTGACAAACTGGAGATCATGAAGTGAAGAACATAATCACTTCACATATTCTAACAGAATGAATAAACTAAGCATGCATGCTTTCAAGTCATACTGAAAACAAAAGTTGAATAAATAAAAGTAGTTAGAGCTGAAATTTTTTTGAAAATACCAGTCGTGATGAAAGGTTAAACGATTTTAGCTTGATGCAAACCGAACATACAAATAAAATACATGACATAAACGAAATCGGTACTGCTATTGCCTAGAAACAACTAACTAGTTTAATGTTTTAAGATGGTCTCAACTTCCATTTTTAGACAACTGAAATGAAGTAATACAAACAATTAGAAAATAAGACATTCTTTCTTTGAGTAGTACTAGCCACATAATAATATAAGAGCATTTTTGCACATATGCCAACAAAGCTGAAGTTTCATGTCCCTAACATATATGAGAAGAGAGGAGTTTAATTCTAATATTTGCAGAGGATCTAGAACTCTTTACTATTGTGGATAAGACGAACAACAACCTCAGATCTTACACATATGTCAAATGGTGCTTTAATTGGCTTTAATGCCATTTTGACGACCCACATTTTTCATTCTCTTTGTGGATATCTCCGGCCATAGAAATGTGATTCGATGGGCCAGTTTTGAGATCAAAAGGGAAGGCATTGGAAGGTCAGCGATTGATATTCCAGCAATGAAGCTTGAGTCTTGTATCGAAGGTGCAATGAAATAGGTTGTTCTTAATTTGTGGCTCTTATATATCGTAAAACTACAAACTGTGCTCTTTCTTCAACAAAGGGGTTTGAGGAATCCTTTTTTTAAGTATTTTTGTCAAAGGGGGTTTTCTCGCTCGAAACTTGAGGGCTTCACAAAAAGAGAAAGAGAGAGGGTTTCATCGGTTCTCCAGCGTGGCGCTCTACTGTCCAGATAAGCTTTTAATAATCCAGTTTAGTTTTCTGTAACAGACATTAACGATTGTAGATGTCAAGTGATCATTTTGTTATAAATTGGTAACATTAATGATCAATTTGTAACTTTTGAAAGTTTAGTAGGTAAAACGAAAAATTACTCAAAGTTTAGTGACCATTGGTGTAGTTTAGCCGATTATATTTTATATAGAGCTATTTTTAATATTTCAGTGTATCTTTAACAAAGCCTTTAATCATGCCATTTTCTTTTCCTTTATTTGATGTCTCTAAAGACCTATTTCTTATATGTTGGAAAACAAATCGAAGCAATGGCTTTGTCTGAATTCGGACAAATTTGGGAAGTTATACCGTGCGACAGTCGTAATATACGGTTAAGAAATGTATTATTGATTTTATTATTTTTTTTAAAAAAATAATAAATTACCTAAAACATTATTATTTTACCTAAAACATTAATGTTTTTAATATTTACGGTAAAGTACCAAATAATAACAAAATCGGTAGAATAAATAACAAAACCAGTAACACTTTACCAGATATGTTAACAAAACCGGTAAAACTCCCAATAATAACAAAACCTGTAGAAATAATAATGTTTTCGGTAATTTTTTACCGGTGTTGTTAAAAAAATAATAACAAAACCGGCAGCGTCTTTCGTTAGCCGTATATTAAGGCTGTCGCACGTGAGACTTTTCCGACAAATTTAGATACTCGATTGTTTCTATTTTTTTGTGCGGTAAAATACATTTCGTGAGTTATTCAAGTTCGATTCGGTCAAAGTTTAATTAATAATAAAATCAAACAGACTCAATTTGAGCTCAAACTTGACTTAAATTCTTAACGAGTTGAAGTAACTACGTAATACTCGACTAGAAAAGCTTACAAATTATTCGAAAAATAATATATTTAAATTTTAGATTTTTTAAATTAAATTATTATTAGTATTAACATTTATATGTTATTTTTAACAAATATAATAGAAGACTTTTATATAGTTACGGTTCAGGTTCAAATCGACCTTTAAGTTTTTGATTTCATGTTTAGCTTAAAAGTTTTAAGCTTGTGAGCTTTCGAGTTGAGCTTTAACTTTTATTTCATATTCAAGTCGAGTTTAAAAATATTAAAATCATAAATTTTTGAGTTAAGTCGAACTCAACAATACTCAAACGTGACTCGTTTACCATCCTAATTCTGTTAAACTCTTAGCAAAATTTTATTGGAATTTTACAGTTTTGGAGATCAAAAAAGATAACCGCATCTGGCTCTATGGGTCAAATTTTATACCTTTTTTAACGTAATTTATTTAAAAACAGCTGGACTAAAATTTTCAATTTAAAACATCATTTAACCTCTTTTTTTTCTTCTCATTTTGTTAGTCATTAGTCTATAGCTTGAAATTTAGAATCAAATAAAATTTAGCCGACAATTTAGAATGTATAGTGCAAGTGAAAAAATACACACAACAACGAGAAGTTCAATTGTACACTGCCCACAAACACAGTACTTAAAAAGATACACATGTTTACATAAAAGCTTAAATTGATGCAACTGGTATTCATAACGCCTATACAAACTTTTGAAAAAATAACACATCGATAGGTTCCACGATGCCACAAGCTTGACACAACAAAATGCTTTCTACAGCAGCCATGGTTACTCCTTTCAACTTCGGTTTTTTCGCATTCCCTTTTTACCGGGATGCAAGTGACCAAAAGTTCAACAGAAATGAAGGTACTGCAGCAAACCAGCAAATGAAGGCCATTGCAGTCGAAGTTTCAAACTCTGCACAATGGTTCTGTGCACAGCTATCAAGATCGTTGTCGATAAGAACGGTGATCCCGGCAGAAGCACAAGCTGCAGCAAATGTGAGAGTGGATGTGATCTGCAAGGTAAAAAGTACATACGATCAATACACTAAAAATTTCCAAAAACCGAGGAGCTATGTAGTGAACACATAATACGTGCAAAGACAATGGAGAGGTAAAACAAGGCAGTGGAAAAAAAAACTAAAACTGTTTGAGCTCTTAACTAATGCAAGTCTGGAAACCATGGTGAATGGTAACACTGATTGTCTTTCCAATCAAATGCAGTCCACAGAATTAGCTTGCACTGCGTATGCAGAAGCTTTGCAAAGTTTAGTCTTCCAACGCAATTAGTTCTACGTGTTTCCTTGGAATTGCTATACAAGTAGTTCAAGAAATCATGGAAAACCAGAGGTATCTTCAAACAAAGACTGGTAAAAGATAAGAACATTATTTCTGGTTCGAATAAAATCATATAGCAAAGTGCTATCAGAAGCTCAAATCCATTATCCTCTTAACTCCGAGTTATTTGTGACTACTCATTGTAGGCCAATACAAACACCAATGTCGATGGTACTCTACAACAAAACCAATGGCAAGCCAATGATTTTGATTGGAAAATCATATTGAAGACTATTCATGCAATTCCAGCTCTTTAAATACCAAATTTGTCAACGAAAAAAGAAAATTGAATAATATTCGAATGAGTCATTATTAACTGCAATTTTCAAACAGGAGAACGAAGCTTTTGTGCAAAAAGTGTCACAAGGTAGACTGAGCAGTTCTGAATGTGTCAAAGCCAATGGTTGAAGGCTTGAAGCCATAGCAGACGTCACAAAGTTAACAGTAATACATGTTAGGATAAGTTTCTGAGAAATTCAGACATAAACTTAACGATTTTCATGATGTTCAACAGAAACAAATAGCATATCACGTGTTCCAATCATTTAGCTTCATTTGTAGCAGTGAAAGTAAACATCTTACCGCATCACCAATAGTAAACAAAGTAACAACACGGGAATTCTGCAAGGAACGTCTCACTGAAAGGGCATAAATGTCAATGATAGCAAGCGATAAGCTCCACAAAATCTGCAAGCCAGTGGCAGCAACAAGGTAGCTGATGTAGCAAATACAAAATTCCATGTTATGAAAAAATCATGATAACATCATATGCTGAATATAGACACAAAACTAGTTGCTTCACTTTGTTAATCATGAGTGAATTCCAAAGTCAGCAGAAAGATTGCATATAAAAGACGTTGAATTTGAGTAAAGAATCTATTTAGAAAAATCAAAATCTGAGAGTCGAATGTTACAACTCCTTCCAAAAAAAAAATAGAGGTCTAAACAAAACTACATGCTCCTCAAAGAGCCACGAGGATGAAAACGTCTCTCTTGCATGCCCCATTCTATGATCGTCAAAATGCACAGATAATGGAGCACGTTGAGAGTTTGATGTAACATCATGCTACTGACCATTTCCATTTTCTAAGAAACAAAACTAGAGAGTTTGATGTAACATCATGCTATTGGCATTTTCCATTTTCTAAGCAACCAAACTCTATTTTCTTTACGTCTCTTTCAGAATTTGATATAAGACCTCACTTAGCATGTAAAACAAGTCAAGTCTAAAAGATGCATAATATCGGTTTCTTTCGCTTTCTTATCCAAAAATTAATAATTAAAAACTAGAGAGCTCTCAAGTGTTCAACTTTGATGTGTTGTTCAAAATGGGTTTTTAACATTTAATACCCTAAGACTAACCTTCATTTCATTAAATATACTAGGTCATTACACTTTTCATCAGATGTACATCGACAAACTAATATAGATGCAACCAAAGATAAACCAAAATGATTAGATAGAATAATGGCAATGCATGTAGCAACCAATCAAGCAGCCTTCTTACATTCTAAAATCATATTCACATGTAAACAAACAAGGCTCTATCATTCGATTTATAGCATCATTCCCATATTTAGAGTTTGCAAATAAAAAAGATCATACGAAAAGAATCAAATATTGAACCTCAATTCCTCATCATGCTCAAATATTGATCAAAATCCAAACCAACTTTTAAGCAGAACAGAAAAAACCATAACCGAAGGAATTACCAAAAGGCAGTAACAGATGGAAAATCACTAGTGGTAGCCATAATACAAAGTCCCACAACTGCAAAGGCAAACTGACATATCCTCAACACAAGCCCTCCTAGTGTACCAGGCATTCCCTGAAGATCCTTCATCCTCACTGTCGGTACCTCGTTGTTGCCTCCTTCGCCTCCAGCTCCTTCAGTGGGAGGTGGATCTTCTTCCACTGGGTGAACCGAGCCACGGCTCACATTCATCTCTTCCACTAAAACTCCTTCAATTCATACTCACAACTCCAGAAACTTAACAGATAACCAAAATTCACCTTTTCTATTCCTCCAACTTTCACTACAACCAAACAGAATTCAACCGGATTAATCCCCCCCCCCCGCAAAGTATATAAGCTAAACCATCGCTATTAAATAGTATCACAAAGTTCTCATCAATTGAAACATCAGCTCATCTAACATAACGACAAAAGAGTTGATCAAAAAGAAATAATCAAATCAAATCTTATTAGCTAGCAATGGATCGAGGAAAAAGAAATAACAACAAGAGTTCACAGTTTCCCAAAACAAAGGAAAACGCGGTTACCTGAAAGTAGGAAATCTGAAGAATTAAGGGAGAAGAATCTGGGATTAAGAAAATGATTATTTCGGTGGGTGAAGTCTTCAGGTTTAAGAAAATAACAGAGGAAAGGAAACTGGAAATAAAAGGGGAGTAAAAAGAAGCTCTTCAAATTTTTAGTAGTCTTTTCAGATTTTGATTGTGTTTGTTGCTTGTAGTTGGAGAACGGTAACTCTGAGCTTATGCTGGGAAGATACCGGCGACGGAATTTGGTGGCGGAGGGAGACCAGTTCGGAGACAAGGCTGTGTTTGCGAAACAGTTCAAGGGTAATTCATTCTTTCTAAACCTACCTTTCAAAATGATTGCTTAGCTTTTATTTTCGCCCAACATTTTTTCTTGAGTTAATTGAAGGGTAAACTATGAATTTAGATTTAGTCACCTAATTATTTTAATCTATTATATTTTTTAAAATCATACTTATAATTTTATTTTTATTTTATTTTATTTTAATCATCTACTGTTAAAACTTAAACAAGATTATTGATGTGATAATTCTTTTAACTTTTTTCAATGATGAGACATTATCTTGTGATAGCTAGTCGACATCATCGTTATTTTTTTAACGGGAGTAATTAAAATAAAATAAAAACATACTAGTATTAAGTATGATTTAAAAAAATTTTGAGTGACCAAAATAGAATGTTAGAATAGTTGGGTGACTAAAATATATAATTTACCCTTAGTTAAATCACACATCTAAATTATTATTCTTATTTGAAATTGGTCCTAAAATTCTTAAATATTTCAATTTAATACTAAAATTATAATTATCATTTTAATTTATCCCTTAAACTTGTAAATATTAGACTTCATTATGTAATAATATAATATGACATAAATAATAATTAATATTAAGTTTAAATAAAATAATGATTTTAAATTTTGAAATATAATATAAAAAGAATATAAAAGAAATAAGAGGAAGAAATAAAAATAAAATTAACTTTTCAAAATTTTTTTTGAATCAGACCTTTTAGTTTTATTATGAATAATGAATTTGGAGGGATATAATGATAAGATACAATATTAATTAAAAAAACTCGGCACATGTAAAAATAATTAATGTTCATATGACGAGTTTGTCCAAATAATATTTTGTTCTTCTTTACTATTTTTTTTTCTTCCATCCAATTTTTTTTCAAAATTTTTATTCATTTGCTTTATTGTTCTTCCTTAAGTTATTTGGTCGAAAGCAATGCGATCAAGATAAAAATTTCTAAATATAATTTAAAACCTTTTCGAGTTAACACCTCAAATCCTATTTAAATTTTTTAAAGACTATCACATTTGTCGTCAAAGTGACTTATATTTTTTAAATCAATATAGGTGATGATTTCTCAATTTAAAATAATTTACATAAAAAATTAGACCTCTTTATTTTAAAAATTAAATACACGAATAAAAAAATTATAAATTTGACTAAAATAAATTTCAATCTTTGCATGTCAACTTAAGTAATCATTTATTATACTCGGGTGATCCATTCAGACTCATCCGATGATGTTTTTACCTTATTATGAATCATGAAATCTATAACATGCACACAAAAACAATCTAAATGCTAAACGTATAAAGCTCGACGGTATACATCTAGTCTATTATGTTTCATAAGTTCTATAAACATAAACATGCAAGTCAGATGTAAGCATAAAGGTAAAAACACATCATACCTTTAATTCACATGGCACAAGACATAACAATCAAACAAATCCACACAACTTTGTAAATAACGGAAGCATTTTGGACCATACAACATCAAGATTATCACTTAATAAGTATCCTGTGACCCCCTCAGACCGATGTAGGTAACCTGATCTGATCTAGGGTGTCACATTAGGGCCACCGGAGCGACCCACCGTAAAAATAGCGGAAAATTTAAAACTTTTATTAAACATGTAAACTCATAAAATAATTTATCATTATTCAGAAATAAATCAGATTTTCAGACTCGTATATAAAACAAAATACAATTACATGCTCCTAATCACATGCACCATACTCTGCAAGCAACGCCAGAAAAACTCCCTTGCTGATGTCGGTAGATGCACTGATACGATTCTTTTAACCTACAATGGTGAGTAATAGAGTAAGCTTTAGGAAGCTCAGTAATACAATGCTACCAGTTGATGCTACATGACATGCAGATAAATGAGAAGCCATATAATTTTCTTATTGAATCAGACGTATACCAGTTTGCGGGATAATTTGGGGTTCTATTAGTAGTTCATCGAGTAGAAGCCATGAATATCACAGTTCATAGGAAGCATTCATAGTATCACGTTTTCATGAGGTCGAATAGGATGTCTAGTGTGTTCAAATCAAAACCAGTGAAAAGATATAAATCTTTTAAAACTATAGTTGAACCCCCAACCAAACTCCATTATGCAGTTCCCTAGGACTGCGTCCGTAGGGCTTACCCTAAACACATAGCAAATAGAGCCAACCAAAGGATATTCCTTGGGGCCTATGGACCTACCCAAGGGTATCCTTAGATTCGTAGGGTTAGCCTAAGCATACAACAAAGGAAACCAACCTAAGGATATGCCTTGGGGCCTATGGGCCTACCCAAGGGTATCCTTAGATCCGTAAGGTCTTACCAGCTGGATCAGAGTAGTGCCTTCATACTTCAGAATCCTATCCATATAAAAATCTAGTAGAAATCAGTTTAGCCGTAAATCGTAATACCTGGATCGTGATCCAGTAATATGTCATAGCCGTTATAATGAAATAAATCATATAACCAATTTCCACCTGTACACCATAAGTAGTCAAATGATTAACCCAAGGGAGTACCTTGGGGCCTGAGAGCCTACCCAAGGGTCCCTTAGGTCCGTAAGAAATTTCCATCTTGATCAGAGCTGTACCTCCAGTCTACCCATATAATATCCCAGTAAAACAATTCGAGTATAACCAGTGAACCATAAAACCATGGTTCATAAACCAGTAGTTTTCATGGTTCCATAAATCAAAACTAATTCATATTTTCGATAAAAACCATAATCGTAAACCACTTACCATGTTGTCATGGTTCATAAACCAGTAAATCAATACTTGCGTTAAAACTCATTTCAAAACATATAAAACCGTCATGGTCATGTAGTATATATGGAACACACTAGAGGATCCAAGTATTTTTTCAGAGGCAATTTGTAGTCATCAGTATGGATAACAAGAAACTTATGCAATTTGATCGGATTCCAGGAACGAGGTCCTATTGAAGATAATCGATTACTAACTGATCTAATCAGACATTTAAGGTTGATACTTTAGAATTCCACTATGATTCATGTGCATCAGGAAAGTGTTCAGTAACCTTTATACAGAATAATTCTAGATTCAGGTTTACTGAGAGTGATTCCATTACCCAAACAATCAGGGGTATTCAGGAATATACTTTGAATTCATAGGATTTCATCCCAATTGAACCAAATGGGGTATTCAGAATCTTTTCATTCTGCGTTACTTATGTGTTCAGACATGACCGAAGTGATTTAAGATGAAAATGTAGAAATTAAGATTCAAGACATTTACAATTTATTTCGATCGATCGGATTATCAAACAACTCGAGTTACACAACTCCCAGACTAATGTATGTCAACAAGTCCATTCAATGCCCTTCCAAGGTATACACCCTTTAATACTAACAATTCTTGCCCATTGATCACCTTCAGAATCATCACTGAATAAATCTTAAAGAGACGAACATATATTCTAATGGACTTTATTTCATTTCCATGTTTCAACTAGATCAGGAAATGCTGACGTACTGAATTTATGATTCATAACCCATAGGAATGATATATCATGTAAGTTCATCCGAGTTTCCAGACTTATCCCAATCACTTACTTAATTATCATTCATTGAGGTTGCTTAGTTCATTTAGTAATCAAGTTTATCCCTGTTACTTCGGGGTTTTCCAGATTAATTCAGACGTTTCTGAATTTTGAATACATATTGTACTTTCGTTCAGTTTAATTTAGTCATATAATATAGTCATTCTGATATTAATGGTTGTTTTGACTCACGAATATCCACTTCTTAGTATCGAATGAGCTCTAGAGTTGAGCTGAGCTAAGTACTTCCAGAATTATCATCAATCCAAACTTGAGAAGACGAACACACATTCAAGTGATATCTATGCCATTCAGGTATTGACATAGCATTAGAGTTGATCTACTCACTTAAGTTGTGTTCCATAACTTTTAAGGGTAATACAACACCTATGTTTATTTGAATTCCTTAATTAACCCAAGACATTTACTTAGTCTAGGCCATAAGGGTATTTTGGTCATTTTGGTGCTCAATGTATTTCCATTCATTTCAAAGCTTGAGGATATCCATTCATTAATGGGCTTGGTGATATTCTTGAGTCATTTCCATTACAAAGGTATTTTGGTCATTTTACAGATCTAGGGTATTTCAATCATTTCCTTCCGTCCTGTCTTATTATTTAATTCAAACTTATCATCTACTTCAGTCATTTCAAACAATTCTGACAAAAGAACACAATCGATAAATTATTCTTCAGGTATTTACTCATAACTCAGAGATTTACGGATTATCAGGAAAATTCAGTATAAACGTGTGAACTTAATGATGAAACTAGTAATTCATCGATTTAGGCATAACTGCTTGAGTACTTTTTCATTCAGGGTCAATCCAGGCTACTTTTTCCTCTCAAGGGTAATTTTATAATTTCTTAACCATATAATTTCTGTATTAAAACTCTTAACAAAGATAATTATAACTTAGAGATTCTAGGGTTAATCACTTTTCCGGATAATCTCTAAACTTTAAATTATTCCTTATCAACTTCCAGAGTCAATTCTTGTCTTTTTACAATATAATGGTATTTTCGTAATTTTAATTAATCGAAGTATTCTCATAAATCATCACTTAAACCGTATTCGGTTCGAATCCATCCATAATCAAACAGGCATAATAGACCAATCATATTTATATATCCAAGCATTTATCCATTATCAACATGTTCCATAAACCATAAAAAGGTAGTAATGTATTACCTCATTTTCGTGCCATACTGATCGATCATATAAATTCCATTTGAACGTCCTCGATCTTTAATTCAACTTCCAATAATTCCTCAAATACATAATAATAGAAATTTCATCAAAAGCAGGGCTTAATTCTGAAAAATAGATTGAATCAAGCGATAAATCAGTGAAAAGCAGGTTACTGGGTTCGAATTTGGTAACACGGACCCCAAAAACAGACTCAGGACAAAAGTGTCAGGATAGGTATACCCTGAAAAAGTCAACGGTCGATCAATGG